CCTCCAACATCCCGCTGGTGGAGCCCGGGTTCTCCACCTCATCCAGAAGCCTGATCCTCTGCACAGCTGATCCCCCCGTCAGCGACACGTCACTGGCCACTGGTTCAGAGGGCAGAAAAAGAAAATGGGAGAGAAAAACCTTTAATGAGGTTGTGCCCAAAACAATCATAGAATATTAGATTAAAGTGTTTAAGAAGTGCAGCAAATTCTTACCTTGATTTGCCACAAGCCTGTAGTGCGTCAGTGCTGACTCACAGCTCTGGGGAACACCCACACCTCCCCAGTATCTGTATCCCTAATAAGACATAAAAATGGAAAACGGATGTTTAAAACCTTATACAGAGAGTGATTCTGTAATTTATTAACAAACCAATGGACTCACCAGAATCATATGAGCTACCAAGTTTCCACCAAGTGCACCGAAGGTGTAGTAAACCAAGGCCTGAGAAATTAATGGAAAAGTGTCAGATTTTGTCCAAACCAACCTTCAATAATCACATTTAACCTCTGAGGCAGAAACAGCTCGATCCAAAACTTTAAGACAAAACTTAAGTCACACTGATTAATAAAAAAAAAGCACCTTAGCTTGACTCGAGTTAACTCCAAGTCCTGCAGCGTACAGAAAACCTAGAGCCTTTGGAAAAACAAACAAAGCACACTGTCAAGTATTTGATTATCTGAGCAATAATAATCAGTATTTATAAAAAACTAAATGTCAGCTCCAAATGAAAGTCTTTTTCTCATTTAAAAGATAGTGGAAAGTGTGTTTATTGTGTTTATTTATTATGTGAATGTAAAGTAACAGAGAACTTTGCTATTTACTGATCTATAGATTAGATAAACAGCACTGTGGCCTTCTCCTGCTCCAGGTCTGTGTGGAAGTGTTACACTCCATTTACATAACACACCTGCTGATGGGGAAGATAGTTATTTACTGTAACAGCCCCAAATGGGAGGGTGTGAATGGGAGGGTGTGATTAGAGAAAGCTATCACATGGTGCACACACACAGTGAACTTATGTCAGGAGAGCAGGTAGGGGCAGTCCAAAAACCTTTTACAAATAAAGTTAATTGAAGACAACCTCAGCACATGACAGCTTTCAGTAGAAGGATACATACATCTCCATAAGATGTCATGTAGGAAAAGACCCTAAATAATGACTGTAAGGAGATTACTTTATGACTATAAGTCAGTTATTAAACAGCTTTTGTACAGGAATGAATTTGCCCCAAACTCTTTCATCAAAATAACATTTTGGGTGGGAACTGTACCATCTGAGCTTTGGGTGAGCCTTCCACGGCAAGCTTCTCAAACATTTCTTTGGCCTTGGTGACATTCTGGTTTATGTAGTCTCCAAACAGCATGGCGTATGCCACCTTCTCCATGGTTTTTTGGTGTCCCTTCTCTGCCACTTTCAGTAGCTTTTCATATAACCTGAAAAAGTTGTATAAGCAGAGGTGGTGAGGACAGTGAGACACGGGTATGAAAAAAAAATTGATGTGTGCATAACAAACAGTGCTGTGACATCTAAAGCAAATAGGGATGTGTCAACCAAAGTCACATCGTATTAGAGCATACATAAAAAATAAACTGTGAAGTACACATATGCAGGTAGAGATACATTCTGTAATAAGAACAAACATGAAATCTAGATGTACAATACAGATGTGTTAGGGTTGATTAGAACTAAGGGAATAAATCAGAGGTAGGGAACTCACTCTTTTTTCTGTGTCTTCCTGGTGGTGGCATTTAGCATGCGCAGGACAGTCTGATACAGCTCCTCAGCTTCCTCCGCCTGTAATCTCTGCTGTGCCTGCTCCTCCGCTATAGAAAGAGGAGAGAAGTCGAAAAGAACATACAGATTCAAAACATTGGCAACAGCAGAGACCATGATCATTTTGAAAATAAAAACACAATGTGCTCTAAAACCAGTTTCAGTGGGCTCAGTTGGCTTTTTGTGATAAATGGGTCTAAAACACTTCAAAATGTTCAGGCAAACTTTAGACTTACTCTCACAAAACCCCCACTTCTTCTCCTGATCATAGTCGTAGATTGTGGCACACCATAACCGTCCATCCCCCCGTCCATCAGTGGTACAGTCCATATACTCCTTCCGTTGGAAGAGGAATGGGAAGACACAGGGTTCTCCATGGGCTGTACCTCCATTCACCACAGGAACTGAAAAAAAAAAGTACTGTATTATTTTAGTAGTTATAGCAATATTAAAAGATTTTTAAAATATCTGTATTTACTATGTATTTTTTCTATGAAACAACAGTAATAATGTACAATTCTATTATACAGATAAAAAATGGTATTTAAAGAAATTTCTCTAAATCTTCATCTACATATTAAGCTCAATATTGTACTTGTGCAAGAAGCGAGGAGGAGAATAGTTAAAAAAAATCCCCAAGTAAAATGATGTAACCGACTGCAAGAGGAGCCACAGGTGCAAAGTGCAGTTAATTTCTCATGGGGTTTAACTGTCTATCCAATCTGGCTCTGCCCTGAAACCACACGCGCGTATGCTCAATACTGAAAACAGGTTAGACTCAACAGAGCTTACAAAAAAACCTGAAGGCAGATGCGATTTAAAATACAGATGGTGCCAACCTTAGGAGTCAGTAAATCATCTGACTGTCACTGCTACATGACAGTTCTGCTCTTATCCTGTGATTCATTTGCCTCACAGCACATTCATTATTTACCACTACGTCTTTATTTGAGTTCAGATTTTAGTCTTTACCCTCTTTGGGTTTCTCCTCAGCTGGAGGAGGCTGGTCGGGCAGATCCTCCTTCTCTTCTCCCTCCAGTATATCTGCAGGGGACTCCTTCTCCTCCTCTGGGCTGGAGACTTCATGATCGGAGGTCACAGAGGCACCTGCCATGATTACTGATGCCAGACGGACATCCTCTTCTTCATTGTCCGGGTCATGATAAGACTGAAAACATGGTGGGATCACATTAAAACAGACTGAATGCAGCGCACAGGCAAAAAAACTATGGATTTGTGATATTGGTTATTTACAGCAGGTGTTTCCATTACTTAAAATACTAGCAACGACTTGTCATGCACATGATAACCACTGTCAAATCCCTTACAGTGTGACGTACCTTCAGCTCTGGACCGTCATTCTCCTGTTGCTCTTCATCTGTTGAGTATCAATATCACAGTTTTCAGGACAGTGGACGGACATGTTTGCTAAAAATAAACAGCTTGGTACCACACAGCTAACGTTAGCAGCTTTCCTCAGTGTTAAACCACATGCTCTTACCTGATGATATTCCTCTGACGAAGACTACCAGCACAATGGTCCAAAAACAAAGTCCTCTCGTCGTCTTAAAACACCTTTTCAACCCCATCGCTGCTACTGCTGTTGTCAAGCTAACACTGTGCTAGCTGGAGCTGCTGCTGTTCCTATCGCCACACATTCAGGAGCAGCGGAGTCCCAGTGTGAGTAACATGGACAAACACACACACGGACACACGAACGAACCCGAATCTCGCTCCGGTTACTAACCCGGTTAATTTTAGCTGCCGTGGCTGTCAACGGAGCTAACAGATTCCAATGCAAAGCTAAGCTAGCAGAGTAGTGACAGGCTGCAGAGACGTGAGGCTGCTAACCAGAAAAAACCCCAAACACGGATCATTTACAGAAGAGTCAACACCCCCGCTTCCCCGTCAGTCACCGAGCGACTCTCTGTGCACGAAAACATCCGCGTTTCAGTGCGAAATGTAAAAACCTCGGGCGTTTTATTGGAATAGACCAAACACTACTTAGCTTCTCATGTTAAGCCCCGTACCACCGAGAGACACTTCCTGTTCTCGAATTCTGACCAATCAGGGCGCCTTTCGCTCGACGCTAGCCAATGAGAATGGGGCTGAGATGCTTCAGCCAATCAGGTGCGTACACAATTATGTTTCTCGGTGATGGGCTCGGCCACGACATCACAACAGAAAGTGCAGGAGTGTGTGTGTGTGTGTGTGTGTGTG